AGGTGGGGCAGGCTGGCCGCGGTGCCAAGTCAACCCGAGCGCGTTGCTGCGCCCCCGTGTCTGCGGTACACGGTGCGACGTCAGGGACACCGGGAAGGGGGAGATCAAGGAATGAATCCATTTAGAGCTGCGGCTTTGAGCCAGTCGCTGCGCCGGGCCCTGGGGACGTGGCCTTTGCCCCCCCAGCCTCAGGTGGCCTGCAGTCCAGTCTGGGGGACTGAACGGAAGCACGGACTTGCACGGGCGCCGAGAGTTACAGTGAGCAAAGTGCAAGAGTCGTGGCCGGGTGGGGGTGGGAAGAAGCGCTCAGGCCAGGTGAGAGCAGCACCTGTGGCGCTCAGACGCCTCCTAGGTGGTGGGGGGAACCGAACCGCAAGCTACTGCAGGGGTCCTGAAAACCGCCGCCCGGGCTCTGGGCTAAACCGATGAATGAGCAAGGGGGTGGAACTGTACAAAGAACCGGGTTTGTGATTGGCTGTGGAAAGGAAGACAGGCCTCCAGGGTGGAACTCCCAGTCTTCAGTATGAATGGATAAACAGAAGGAGGAGCCTAGCTGGTGCAGGGTTCAATGTGACGCCGCAAACGGTGGCGAAAGAAGTGGCTTTATGCTTCTGAAAGGATTAGTCGTGGGAACCCTGTGCGGCAGGTCTGCTCCGCAGGATACATCCCAGTGAGCCGGCATCTACTCCCCGCAGTGGGTTTGATTGGAGTTTGGGAGAATCAAAAAACCAAGCCAGTTGTTCATGGCCACCCCGTGTGCGCAGAGTACAACTGCACCCACTAGGGTTTTCAGAGCGATGGTCTTTTGGAAGCAGAAATGCCTCATCTGGGCATTTCTCCCAGCGTGCCACTGGGTCTGTCCAAAGTGCCCACCTTCGGGGTTAACAAGCGCTTAACTATTTGTGCTATCTGTGGAAAGCTGCTTCTTATTGGCCTAGAGAGCATTGGACAATTAAAGTGGACGGTTAGGACACCTTTCATTAGAGTAGAGTATAATTATAACAACAACAACAACAACAACAGAAAAACAATACCATAGACTCGATTCCAACTCATAACTCATAATGTTCTTGGCCACCTCCAGCCCCTGAGATTGACTTTGATCCGCCTCGTGAAATCATTTCCCACAATGTCAAAGTGCTCCCTCTGAAGATGCACACACAAATTAATCCAGGTGCCAGATAGCCCGATATTTATTCGTTCATCACATTTACTGAGAACACGCACGACCATTGAGCCAATACCAACTTATACCGACTCTATATAGGGTTTCCACGACTATAATCTTCACCAAAACAGACAGCCTCGCCTTTGTCTCTGGGAGTGGCTGGTGGAGCAGCTGGTGGGTTTGAACTGGCCTGCTATATGCTCTTTACCTCTGGAAGTGCTGGCTCCCTCAGTTTACAAAACAAAACTTCCTGCACTGTGGAGCTCTCTTTAGGGGCTAGTGGGAGGTGAAGAAATAAACAAAGACATGCAAAGTGCTCTGTTGAAAGTAGTGCATGCTGTGAGAGAAAGAAGCTGAGCAGACAAGGGGGGCTAATGAGCCAGAGGACAGGGCCAGCTTGCAACATAGCAAAGAACTTTTTTTTTTTTCTTCAATCATTGTATTAGGAGCTCATACGATTCTTATCACCATCCATCCATACATCAATTGTGTAAAGCACATTTGTACATTCATTGCCCTCATTATTCTCAAAACATTTGCTCTCCACTTAAGCCCCCCCCATCAGCTCATTTTTTCCTCTCCCTCCCTGCTCCCCCCTCCCTTATGAACCGAACCCTTGATAATTTATAAATTATTATTTTGTCATATCTTTCCCTGTCCGATATCTCCCCTCACCCACTTTTCTGTTGTCCGTCCTCAGGGAGGAGGTCACATGTAGAGCCTTGTAATTAGTTCCCCCTCTTCAATCCACCCTCCCTCTATACTCCCAGTATCACCACTCACACCACTGGTCCTGAAGGGATCATCCGCCCTGGATTCCCCTGTGTTTCCAGTTCCTATCTGTACCAGCGTACATCCTCTTGGGTAGCCAGACTTGCAATGTAGAAAATTGGGATCATGATAGTTGGGGGGAGGAAGCATTTAGGAACTAGAGGAAAGTTGTATTTTTCATTGTTGCTACATTGCACCCTGACTGGCTCCTCCTCCCCTTCTGTAAGGGGATGTCCCGTGGCCTACAAATGGGCTTTGGGTCTCCACTCTGCACTCCCCCCCTCATTTACAATGATATGAGTTTTTTTGTTCTGATAATGCCTTATACCTGATCCCTTCAACACCTCGTGATCACACAGGCTGGTGTGCTTCTTCCATGTGGGCTTTGTTGCTTCTGAGCTAGATGGCCACTTGTTTACCTTCAAGGCTTTAAGACCCCAGACGCATAGCAAAGAACTCAAATGGACAATAAGCATATGAAGAGATGCCCAACTTCATTTGTCTTCAGAAAAAGGTTATGGGTTGAATTATATTCCTCAGAATTATGTATCATAAATCTTTACCTCTGTGCCCATGGTGAGTTATAATCCTATTTGGGAAAGAGTTGTCTGTTATGTTAATGAAGCAGGATTCCTGTAGGGTTTGATGTTTGTACGTCTTAAGATGTAAAAGCAACAAACATAGGAGCAGAGCCAAGATGTGGGAGAGAGGTACCAGAGCACATGACTATTGCTTGGAGCATAAGCAAGACAGAAGTCCTTCTAACAGAGCCAATGGAGAGAGCTCCTTCCTCCAGAGCTGGCTTCCTGCCGCCAGACGTCCAGCCTCCTAACCTGTGAGAAAACAAAGTTCTGTTTGTCAAAGCCATCCCTTCAGGATTCCAGGGCGTGGGTGTGGTCATCTTTGGAGGGTCATTGTGACTCCCACCAGCACGCACAGTTCCTTGGGCTTTACCAACTCATGGCCACCCAGTGTGTGTTAGCGCAGAACTCTGCCACACAGGGTTCCCCACGGCTGGCTTGTTTGTTGTGTTTTTTTTTAACGGCTGGTTTCTCGAAGTTGATCAGCAGGCTTTTCTTCTGAGACACCTCTGGGTAGGCTTGAACCAGCAACCGTGACCATTATTAGCCTTTGCACCACCCAGGGACGTCATCTCATATTTTGCGTGTGTTTTATTGAGTGCGCACCATCCATCACTCCTGGACAAGTGGAGCTGCTGAGGTTTGAACCCAGGACCCCCTCCACTGGGCAGCCTACCAGGAACCCAGTCGAGTCGTCCCCGCTCACATGGGCCTCGCACAGAGGCTGATTTGGGAGCCTCCACGGGTTTCCGTGTGCAGCTTGGACATTGTGTTGTGCTTATTCCCGCCCTTTTCTCATTTTCAAACTAAGTTTGGTGCCAGTTGGGTTGCCACCTGTCCCGACACAAGACTTGTTGAAATCCTAAGCCCTGTTGCCATGAATGTGACCTTGTTGTTTGGAAATAGGATCTTTACAAATGGGATTAGTTAAGATGAGGTTGTAGTAGATTAGGGCGGGCCCTCATCCAATGAATGGACCCAGTGCGTTGCAAAAGGTCAATGCTTCATTACCTACTGAAAGGGTGACAGTTTGGACCCACCCAGGAAAGAGGCCTGATGGTCCCTGAAAGTGCACAGCCATGAGACAGAACCTACGAATGTGGTTCGTCCTCTCCGTACAGATGGGGTCACCTGGAGCTGAACTGACTCAGTGGCACCTGGCTCGATTCTTTTCTTTTTTTAACCCAATACGAGCGTTGGGTTTATACAGAGAGGAGGAGACACGTGGGGATACAGGGGGAATCACCATGTGATACAGCAGCGCTACCAGTCACAGAATGCCTGGGAACAACAGTAGCTAGAAGAGTCGAGGATCCTCCACTAGACCCTCCGAAAAACCATGGCCCTGCTGACACCAGGAGACTTCCGGCCTCCAAAGCGAGGAGACCGAAGTTTGGGTGCAAAGCCACCCAGTTGGTGGTTTTTCCTGGTCCAGGACCCCCAGGAAAGGAACACAGACGATCTCTCCAGAGCAGGCCACTCACTCGGATGTGTGATTTCTTTCTCCCTGCAAGGCCTTTGAGATCTTAGTTCTTCATCTTACACCAGAGGAACCCAGAAGGCACTAGCCTGTCTCCTCAGATTCTGAACTGGCTTAGCTCAGGGCGCAGGTAAACAAAAAGTGTTTTATGGTACCAAAGAGATCCCATCTCTAATAGAACTTAAGGAGAACATTTATTAAGCCTTAGAAGAGTCCAAGACAACATACAGACAGACTCCCATCATCTGGATGAGGGAAGGTATTAGCATGTAGTCCAAAACTGGTGTCTGAGGAGTCACAGTCAGGAATTCCACCAGGTTAATGCTGCACGGAACAAAGGGGGCAGTCACAAATTCACGACTATACTTGGCAGATCTGTACATCATAGTTACACATGGATCTACAAAAGCAGGAACAGAGTCATGGTTGGGATACACATCGTTAAATAAAAGAGCTTACGGGATTGGTCCAGGGCCTTCCGATCATCAGCGTAGTCAGAGCGAGACTGGGAGGCCATCATTCACGACTATGTGACCCTTTGTACTGTCTCAAGTACAAACCCAGGCAAGCCCCTCAAAGACTGCCCCTCCTTGGGCTGGCTGGAGAGGGGTGGAGATCATTCACTTGGCAAGGCACTCTGCCTGAGGGCAAGATGATCTACATCCTTGGTTAAAGACCCCAAAGAGTTCAGTCAGGCTTCATCTCTGTGGGAGACCCTGCAAATGGATTTGGGACTGTCCTTCCCAACCACAGCCTTTTTCAGCCTGGGGTGCTCAGAACTTCAGCTCTAATACCAAAGAGACTGATGTCACTTCTCTGGGGTTTGAGACTTAGAGGCCTTAGTGACAACAAGGCCTTGAGAGGCTAGGACACACAGCTTGTTACCTGTGAAAATGGGGAAGGGAGACAGCCTAGAGAAAGACTGTCACTAGTGGAAGGAGAAAGAATTAAACTCTCAAGGTCTGCTGAAGGGGTCACCATGTCAGAGAACAAAACAGGCTTGCACACGTGGAAGCAGGTACTCATTCAGACAGAATCGTATCTTTGCAGTGAGATGAATCATGGTGTCTTGGATTTATAGCCCGGTGCCTGAATGCATGAGAGCGTGAGTGCAGCAAATAGTTCATGTTCTTGGCTGCTAGCCCAAAACTTGGTGGCCCCAGGGCGCCTCAGAAGAAAGACTTGGTGACCTACTTTCAAGAAATTAGTCACCGAAAATCCTATGGAGTACAGTTGTAACCTGACACACCTGGCGTCACTAGGAGCCAACCGGACAGCACCAACCGGCCTATAGATGCAACTTGACATGGGTCTTTGTGTCACTTCCTCAAAGAGGTACTAAGGCATTTCCTCCCCAGAGTGAGGTCATGCAACGAATAGTCTGTCTTACACTGAAGGAGCGCTCATGGCATTGGGCTGCTAACCACAAGGTCAGAGGTTCAAACCTACCAGCTGCACCTCACGAGAAAGATGAGACTGTGTGTTCCCTTAAAGATCCACAGCTTTGGAACCCTCTATCTGGTCGCTCTGAAGCAGAATCAACTCAATGGCAGTGAATGTGGGTTGGGGCTAACACTTGGTATTTCGTTCTTCTGCAACTTGATTTCTGTTTCAGGAGAGAAGCTCGTTGCTTCGGAGATGGTATGACTTAATGATACAAAACAAAGACGACCTGGCCAAGATAATCACAGCTGAGAATGTAAGTGCAGGAGCCTGGTTGGTAACCCTGAGCAACGACCCAGGCATTCTTTGTCCAATGTCCGGCCAGGTGTGCGGTTACCTTGCCGAAGGCAGTTTGGCTCCCATGTGTTCGTGTAGCCAGACCCACACCTGAGCCTAGTGCGTGGGATGAGCACATCAGGAGGGACTGAGGGCTGCACTCTGAGCCATTCCACACTTCACCCTCTGTCTCTTTCTACCCCTGTACGTTTCACCAGAGCAGTCGCTGTAAGAAAGACACGGTGGAGGTGTGAGATGTTAAGGATAGGGCAGCTAACCTTGACGTTGGCAGTTCTAACTACCAGCCACTTGTCGGGAGAAAGACGAGCCAGTCGGTGCCTGTCAAGATTAACAAGCAGCCTTGGAAACACTAAGAGCAATTCTATACTCTTGTCTTCCAAGGTCTCTGGGTGTTAGAATTGAGTCGATGGCACGGGGTGGTGGGGTGGGTGGAATACAGTGAACCCTTCCACTTCCACGGCTTCGCTCTATCGCGGTTTTTGCGTAACAGCACATGCTCTGTCATTACTGCCACTGATTGGCTCATACTGTACACGCTTCTGTATGCATCGCTACGTATCGGAACTACGTATCAGATGCATTTTTGCTTTTGTACAGTGTACTGTAATTGTTTGTGATTTTTAAGAAATTTTATCTAAGCCCTATGATGGCTCCTAAACGAGCTGCTTCTTCTAAGCAGCTTTTATTGCCTTCTGAAAATAAAAATAAGCGCCAGAGGAAGATGCTCACCATCCAGGAAAAGGTAAAACTTTTTGTATTTTCCCTTTTTTGTTTAATAAATTGGGTAATACGAGTGTAATGGTGACTAAAGGGTGTTTTTTCATGTCCTCTATGCTCTAACTACGAAAATATTTGATTTACAAATAAGGAATCCTACTTCGCGGAATTTCATTTATCACGGTAGGGTCTAGAACCGATTAACCGTGATAAACGAGGGTTCACTGTAGTCTTTTTTTTCTTTTTTAACACTGAAAGGTAGTTTATTTTTCCATACAGTTAATTCTTTATATATATATATAAATTATATATATAATTCTTTATATATATATATTTTTTTAAATTGGGGGCTCAGACAGCTCTTAGTATGATATACTCTCTGTGATGTCCCTGTGAATTAATGAACCCTCAGGAGCAGTGAGAGCGCACAAGCTGGTGCCTGCCTCCTTGGCAGTCTGAAAGAAGGTGTCCCGATCCCATGGGAGCTCTGAGCCAGCTACGGTGGCTAGGGCTGAGAAACGGGGTCCATCCATCCAGCTCTGTGTGGCTCAGGCTGAGCAAGGGTGTGTCAGGGAACGGCTGGCTGCTAGGTTGGCGAAGCGGAAGGTGAGGACTGGCTCCATGTCCACCCTCGGAATAGGCCTATGCCTCCCCTTACTTAGCCGTGCAGGTGCGAGTTACCCACAGTGCCCCGGGCTTGGCACACTTCCTTTCAGTGCTGCTTGTGGTTACGGAAAATGTGTCTGGCTTGCCTTGAAGGCTTGGATCTAAATGTGAACATCATTTTGGATTTAGATATGTATATCATCTGATATCATAATTAGCATTGTAAATTTTCTCTTTTTGTGTATGAAAATTTTTTTTCTAAGTAACTTAGCCCAACCCTCAATCTTAACTAAAACAAAATCTATATGTTACATTTTATTTAATAACATAAGGAAAATAAGAGGGACTGTGTGGCTGTTGCTATTTTATTTTTAAAAAATAAATGGTTTATTTACTCAAAGTAGCTTTCTTACCTTATTCACAGTTCTGAGTTTAAAAAGAACTAAATAAAAAGGGTAGTACCTATTCTTGCTTAACTGTCCTATCAATAAAATCAGAAAAACCAACCCCTTGGGAACACAGGCCAGGTCCAGAAATTGCCTGGACCTGCCACACAGTGGGCAGGGCAGCCTCGGGGGAGGGCCTGGGAGGGGGTCTGCATATGGCAGGAGCACTGGAAGCCTCTGGAGACAGTGAAATCACTGGGTCAACATTCTACTGGCGCTGCTAGTTTAATATCTGGTTTTTCCCCTACATGATTGTTTGGGTTCATTTTTTATTGCACCATTGACTCTTTCACATCTGTAAGAAGGTACATTGTACCGTGGTCGCAGCGTGTAGAAGATACTGAAAGGAGAAGGAAGTGGAAGAGCAGTTTGAGGTGTCCCGTCCTAGTCTATGAGCGTGTTGACATGCAAGTGACTCTCTGTGGCGTCAGATAGTAATCCCTCTGACTATCTAGGGTATCAGGAAGTCATCCCTCTCTCTCTCCGCCATCAAGTTGATGGCACCCTGTGGCACAGAACAGAATGGTCCTTTGTAGATCTGCCCAGTCCTAAGCACAGTTCAACATTTCTCCACAACCCTGTGGATTTCGTAATGCTCTCCTCAGGAGTCAGGAGACTTTACTACGCTGCTTGCAACCTTGAAGAATGTAGACGGCCAAGCCATGCTTTGCCTATTAAAAACCAGCCGGTTACCCTCAAGTCAGCGCCAATTCACGGTGACCCAGTGCATGGCAGAAGGGAACTGTGCCCTGCAGGATTTCCAGGGATCGATTTTTCAGAAGTAGAACTCAGGCCCTTCTTCCAACGTGCCTCTGGGTAGACGTACACCCCTGTTCTTTTAGTTAGGAGCCATGTGTATCTCCCCGGGACTCCATTTGCTGGTTTATCAGATGATTTACAAGCAGGTGCCCTTCTCCGATTTCATTTAGGGGAAGCCGCTAAAGGAAGCCCAGGGAGAAGCCCTGTATTCCGCCCTGTTCCTTGAGTGGTTCTCCGAGGAAGCCCGTCGCATCTACGGAGACATCATCTATACGGCCGCGAAAGACAAGAGGGGGCTGGTCCTTAAGCAGCCTGTGGGGGTGGCTGCTGTCATCACTCCGGTACGTGGCGGGGTCCTGGGGGAGCAGATGCGGCTGCGACACAGGGAGCCACGTGCTCTTCCCTGTAAAGACATGCGTTCTCATCCTGCTACCTCTGTCCCATGTTCTTGGTTTCCTGATTCCTTTGCTGGGCACAGCTGAGTTCCCGCGTCCTTTGTGATAATGAACGTTAGGTGTGGTGGCAGCAACTGGGCGTAAGTATTTCCAGTGGCTGTGGCTGTGTGGTAACCCCACATCTGGGCTTATCTGACGGGCGCTACCCAACCCGTCTAAGAAGATTCTCGAGTATTTATTGTTTTTCTAAAGAGACGTAGATATGATGATTGTTTTCATTCCAAAGCCTACTTTTCTAATTGTTTTGTTTATCTAGAGAGAGGAAATCCTTTGCCAACGATTTTTACATGTACATGCCAGTGTCCTTAATGATGTTCCCCGTGGTACACAACCATCACCATTGCTCGTTTCCAAATGCCCCCACTGCCTTGAAAGACTCCTCCTCTCTACCTAAGTAAGCGCACTAAGTATCTCTCGATCTTCCCTCCGAACAACTGCAAAGGTGCATCTCTCTGCATATGCCTATTCTGGCTAGGCATTTCATATTCGTGAGAACATAGACTATTGCCCTTTCAAGACAGGCTTGTTTTCCACGGTTATTTTTAATGTGAGGTAATCTGTAAGAGTATATGCTTCATGTGTGGCCATCACCAATAACTAAGCCAGGGGTCCTCAAACGACGGCCACATGCGGCCCGCGGAGCACATTTATCCGGCCCGCCGGGTGTTTTGCCGCTGCTGCCTGTCCTACTTAGCAGCCAACTCGTCTAGTGTGCATAGGAATTTGTTCATAGTTTCTTTTAAACTATAGTCCGGCCCTCCAACGGTCTGAGGAAGAGTGAACTGGCCCCCGGTTTTAAAAGTTTGAGGACCCTTGAGCTAAGCATTGGTACTCTGACCCAGCAGGCACTGGGCGGGGTTCTGTGGGTGGAATGAGCTGAGAGATAAGATCTTGGTTCCAAGGGAAAGAGGCTCCAGTACACTTGTGGGGAGCAGCTTGCTCTTTGACCACCCTCCTTGTACCTACCTGCCACTTGGTCCCACATTAACATCTGCATTATCTGCCAGCTGGTCACTTGTCTTTCCCTGCTCAGGGTAGTTAGAAATGCCCTCCTTCCTCCCCCTTAGATGGACGAGGTGTGATTCAGAACTTCCGTTCTGTGGCCTCTGGCAAGTTACTGACCCAGTCGCAGTTTTCCCTCATCTGCAAATGAAAATGCACTTACCGAACTGACTGGGTTGTGATGAGGATTTGATTCATTACCGGTTTCAAGTGCGTCGAATGGTGCCCAGAAGAATCCGCGCTAAGTATTTGTTGTAATAAAATATTATTCATGTATATAAGAATATGTAAAAATATTTATATGATGGAGTATCAACAAGTTCGTGGGAAAGTATCTTTTCATTCCATTTTGAAGCTAGATATGTGTGTATATATGTATACACACACACACACACACACACAGGTAGAGAGGGAGCTGTTTTTAGAATCGCCTTTGCCGTTTTGTTCTCCCAAGTACGTAGCTCAGGTGCCATCACGGCGAGATAGCCCCCGTCAAATCCAGTCTGTTGCCTGCTTTTGCAAATACTGTTTTATTGGGATATAGCCCTACCCATTTCTGTCTACTCCCACAGAATTTGAATTGTTGTGGCAGAGACTCTTTGTGCCCTAAAGCTTTGAATATTTGCTCTCTGGCTCTTTACAGAAGAAGTTCTCTGACTCCCACTAGAGATAACTTTGTACTGTGAGAAAGTTTGAAATTGTCTCCTGTCCTTATGCGCTTTTGTCTCCTAAGCCGCTCAACGAGGCAGGGGGCAGGTGCTCAGAGAGCTCACTTGTCCGAGAACCTGAAGAGAGCTTTGCCAGTCAATTGGGCAGCGACTGTATTGGCTGACTTCCTCCAGACTAGTGGGATGGCCCCTCCTCTCACACTTTTCCTTTGCTCTGTGCCCCCAGTGGAATTTCCCCAGCGCCATGATCACCAGGAAGGTGGGGGCCGCCCTGGCAGCCGGCTGCACGGTTGTGGTGAAACCTGCGGAAGACACACCCCTCTCCGCCCTGGCCCTGGCTGAGGTGAGTCTTCCTCCCTGTTTGTGCAGGGTGGCAAAATCGAAAGATATTTATTTGGTCAGCAAGAAGCCTTTTGGCGGCCTCTTGTTCCGTCTGCATCTCAGACTGCGTGGTCTTTTGTTTGAATGCACGGGGCGTTTTTCAGTCACACGCTGCTCCTTTAGGAGAAAGGGGTGCGTGGGAGTCTGCCTCGACATCTATAAGCAGCGTAGGTTTAGGCCGAATAGGGCAGGACCCCAACAAGACGGCGGCCACAATGGATTCAAACAAGAGCAGCTGTGAGGATGGCACCCGATTGGGCATCGTTTTGTTCTTTTGTACATAGGGTCACTATGAGCCAGTACTGACCGAAACGCCCTCCAGTGGCCTTCAAGCCTCAATAAGACGTGCCCGGGCCTTCACTGCCCCTCTGACCTCGTCTGTTCCCTGCTTCCTGTTCATCCATTCCAGCCACCCTTCTGCTTCCTCCTCAGGCCTTTCCCCATGTTCAGCTCGTCCAGGACCTGTGTCTGAAAGCACTTCTCTTGCTTCTTCAAGCCTCCAGTGAAAGGCTCTCTGCCCAGGGCGGCATTTCCTGGCCTCCTTCATTAAAAATGACAACTGCTCCCTCCTGATGCCCCCGCTCCGCTTTGTTGTTGGTGCCCACAACCCTTAACACCATCCAACATCCCGGGCATTCGTTTATGCATTTGTTTCTATGACAACCTGCCCGCTCTAGCTCGGTGGAGACAGGGGCTTTCATCTGTTGTGTTCACTGCTGCCTTCCAGAGCCTATCAAATCATGACCGGACAGCGGATCATTCCGCAGAGAATTTTTAGAAGTAAGGAAAGAAGAACAGATGGATAGATGGAAGGAAAGAAGGAAGGAAGGAAGGAAGGAAGGAAGGAAGGAAGGAAGGGAGGGAGGAAGGAAGGAAGGAAGAAGAGATTCGCAGTTGCAACCTACAGCCACTCATCAGATTGGGTACCAGTCTCTTGCTTCATGACCTCAGCCTTGGCTGTGTGGAAGCCCCTTTGTGTTGAGCATTCTGTGGGCTGCTGCACCTCCTTTTGTTCTCTGTGATCAGAGGAAGGAGCTTCCACACCGTCAGCGTGACAAGTGTGGGAATCATTGCCATTGCTCTGCTCTGCTCTCTGGGACTTGCTGCAGCTCCAGTCTTGGTGACCAGAAGTGTCTGTCTTTAAGAGGCGCATCACTGAAAGGCACCTTGTTTCAGCGGTCAATCACTCCTTCCAGTCAGTCGGTAACATTAACTGAACAGAGGGGTGTTTTGTTTTTCAGGTAAGGTGTTTTATACTATTTGCACTGGTGATGTAGTTGGTTACCCATTGGACTGCTAACTGCAAGGTTGGCAGTTTGAAAGCACCGGTCACTCCAAGGGAGAAAGATGAGGCTTTCTACTCCCATTCAGATTTATAGTCTTGGAAACCCACAGGGGCAGTTTGACCCTGTCCTGTACGGTCGATCTGACTCAGTGGCAGTACGGTTCACATGAGTGACAAAGCTGGACAGTGGATCGGAAAGAGCAGGGAAGACTTGATGCCTTTGAGTATGGTGTTGACTGCCAGAGGAACAAACAAACCTGTCTTGTAGGAACTACAGCTAGACTGAATGCTTCTTAGAAGCAGGATGGTGAGACTTTGTCTCGTGTCCTTTGGACAGGTGAGCCACAGGGACCAATCCTGGAGAAGACCTTCCCAATCATGTAGAGGGCTAGTGAAAAAGAGGAAGCGCCTCCATGAGATGGATAGACACAGTGGCTGCAGCAGGTGGCTTGTGCACAGTCAAGGTCAGGAGGAGGGGCAGGGCCGGGCAATGGTTTGTCTGCCGTAGGTCGCGTAGGGTCACTGTAAGTCGGACCCCACGCAACAGCACCTAACAAGCTCACCTGGACCAGGCAATTAACCCTGTTTCTCTGTGCTCCTTCATCTTCAGAGTAATCGTAAGGTAGTTCGTTTTAACTAGTAATGCTTCTTTTTCCCTTTTGGAGATTCTAAATTAAGATAGGTACAGCAAAACCACATAACATGAGTTTCTAATTAAATTTTAATTTCTGATCAGTTTTTAAATCAGTTTTAAAATTTAATTTCTAATTAAATTTTAATTTGATCAGTTTTGATTTTTTTGAACAATTTTAAGTTAAACACTCTTGTAATAATCAAGAAGTGGAATTTTGTCATGGAGAAACTATGAACCCCACTACCTCTACCCTCAGAAAGTAGCCTCTGCCCTGCTTTTTTTATGGATCATTTTTTATAGTTTAAGTCCTTTTGTGGTAAGATATAAATAGATATAATGGCATTTGCTATTTCAACTATTTTTAGCTGTGGCAGTAAGGACATCAACCAAGTGGAGTAATCAATCATTCCTACTATCCGCTTCCATACTTTCCTATCACCCTTGTGGAACAGTCTTTCAATCTGCTGTTTCCTTTTGAGAAAAGTGGAAATGATGCAGCAGGGCTTCCCACTGTCTGCAGGAGGGTTACCCGCTTGGTGCTATGTTCAGCTAGAAAGACTGTTGAGTGCTCGGTTCTTTTCTTGATCCGTTTTTCAAGATAGTGGACCTAGTCCCATTATCTCCTGAAGGTTACCAGTGAACATCTCTTTGAACGTACAGATGTTAACATACTTGCTGAATTCAATTCATTACACTTATTACCCTAAAACCCACAGTCACTGAGTCCATTCTGACGCATATGGCGCTTTATAGAGTTTGCAAGATTGTAAATCTTTTTTTTTAATCGTTTTATTAGGGGCTCATACAACTCTCATCACAATCCACACATACATCAATCGTGTAAAGCACAT